TATATATATATATATATATATTTGTTACTAGTTTTTGTAAAAGTATGAACATTTAAGGTTATTCTCGTATTGAGATTTCGGATATTCCAGACAATGGCTCCCTCATAGGAAAAACTTGGCATTTGAGAATTAATTATTTTAAACATTGATACAGTTTGGTGTTTAGATTATTCCAGTTTAAGTTTGTGATGCTTCTGAACTTGAATCATATCTCAAGACTTTTGTGATAAGTTTAGCAGCACTATTTTTGAATTTTATTTTTAGAATTTGATTGCATCATCCTCACACATTTTTCTTAAAGTATGTGTAGTCCAGAAAGAACTTTGTTTATTACATTATCAATTTGTTGATTCCATGTTAGATTTTTATCTATGATTACCCTTACAAAGATGAGTACTAGATGAGTACTAACATAAAAACAGTACTAAGTTAGATCATGGAGGAATTAGTTTTCTACTTTTTGCGAAGTGAAAAAATGCGCAACCAATCATAGCTCAGAAAGCGAACTGACCCTTTCGATTTTCACAAATAAATTAGCCTAGTGTAAAACAGACTTGAAGTACTAAATAAGTACTCGTATAAAAACAGTTTCCTCCCAAATGCTGGCTTCATTAAGATTCATAGTGTCAACTTGAAACTCATCACTTTATAGAAAGAGTCAAGAAAATCAAGGAAATACTGTGAACCTAAAATATCAGGTAGGTTTTAAAAATGTGTACAGGGCAGCAATGCATTACGTTTTTAATGTATTTGAATCCACAAGCCATTACAAAGCTCACCGTAACACTCGCCTAGTGTCCCCTTCCACTGCTAAAATAAGTTACAGTATTTGGGTCAGCCATCTTTTTGGTATGGTAGAGCTTGGGTTTACAACCTGGAGTCCCAATGGTTAATGAAAAGGATGACTTTAATTTCTTTTGACTACTGAGTTGTGAATATTCAGACCACTAAGCTGCATACTTGTCATGAACTTGACATTCACCCGATAGGCATCTATACCTACCATCATTAGTGTTCAATAAATGCCTGTTGACTTGTTATTTTTTACTTTTTTTTTATTACAATGTGAGACTGTGGTTTCAGCCTCTGGCTGCTTCTACATGTCATTTTGTGGCTGAAATAAAACATACAGTACTTAACCACCACCACCATCACACCGTCACCATCACACTATCACCATCACCATCATAATCATTTATTATATTCAGACCAAGAATATTAAAACCAAATATAAAACTCTAAGCATACAGAATGATAGAAATGTTCACAACTAAATTTATTTATATTTATATATTATAGCAATGTTGCCATGTGACAGCAGCAATGAAGTTTCAACCAATGGTACTGCCAAGGATATTCGTTACCCTGCTTTAATTTACCTTCTGTCAATTATTGCAATTATTGGGATTTTTGCAAACTTGATGGTAATTATTGTGTTTATCAACTGCAAAATTCATCGTAGATCATTCACGTATCTCCTGGTGTTTCAACAATCCTTTCTCGACATGATAGTATGTTGCCTCTATCTAGGTTTTTACAATTACAATCCTGCTCCTAACAGAAATGTGGCCGTCTACTGCAAGTTAGGAACATTTTTCTACTTTTTTTTATCTGCCTCAGCGTTAAATCTAGTCTTCATTTCAGTAGAGAGGTACATTGCAGTGGTGCATCCATATAAGTACAGGATAAGAGTTAACCAGAAGAAGAACACTTTACCAAAGTTATGTATTCCACTCGCAGCTGCATTTCTAATAACATTTCAGTATGCG